AGATAGATAGATAGATAGATAGATAGATAGATAGATAGATAGATAGACAGACAGACAGACAGATAGATAAAAAGAATGATGTTTGAGTATATTCTACAAAGGCATTTTTCTCCAAGGTGTGCTGGCTGGTCTTATGTCAACTTGACACAGAAAACGAGGTATCTGAAAGGAGGGAGCCTCAATTGAGAAAAGCTTCCATAAAATCTGGCTATCAGGCATTTACTAGTGATTGATGGGGGAGGGCCCAGGCCACTTTGGGTGGAACTATCTATCCCTGGGCTGGCGGTCCTGGGTTCTATGAGAAAGCCATGGAGAGTAAGCCAGAAACAGCACTCCTCTGTGTCCTCTACACCAGCTCCTGCCTCTAGGTTCCTGCCCTGTTTGAGTTCCTGCCCTGACTTCCTTAGATGTGTGATGTGGAAGAATAGAATAAACTAACTGGACCCTTTCCTCCCCAACTTGCTTTTTGGTCACAGTGTTTCCTTGCAGCAACAGAAACCCTACCTGAGACAGAAGGCAAATTCAAACTGCACCATAAACATTTCTCACCTGTAAACAATCAAGCAAGTCCACACTAACAAAGAATAAATCTGGCCAGTTTGACACACAACTTATTCTCCTTCATTTAGCACTGGCACCTATTATCCATTACGAATTAGGCTATGAATCTTGCTAGAAACCCATTTTCATGCCGTCATTCTGTGGCTCAAAACCTGCAAAACTTCTTCCCTGCCAGCTCTAAATCCCCCAGTCAGGCTCTCAAGGACCATCCTCCCCGGGCCCAGTCTCCTCACTGGACTGTGTCCTGCCACCTTCACCGTTCCAGTCCTCTTCGCACTGGCCTCCACTACTTAAACCAACATGTACTACATCCAGAGTGATCTGCTTTCTCCATCCTCTATTCTCCTGTCTCAAATAGTACATGACACCTACACTGACAGATCTTCTTATCAAGTCCATTTGTATCACAGCTCCTGAACTGGAAAGGTCTCAAAATACCTCCACTTTTTTTTCCTCTTTGATATACAGGGGGAAATAAAAACTTGTAACCCAACCAGTTGCTCAGCAAACTGAGGCAGAAGAATCTTGAATTAGAAGAGACTAATGTTTGAAAAACAAAAACAAAAAGAAAGTGCATATATATGACATATCCCAACATGCCCCCCGCCCTGTGTGTGTCTAGAACTCTGTGCAATTCTCATGTACAATAGCTGTAGTTCCACGCTCACAAGAAAGAGCAAAAGAGTGCACTGCACTTCAGAGTATAAGGAAACAGCAACAAAAACAGTAAGCAGCGATGAGAGGACTGTGTGACTGAATTCATTCTCTTCTTCCCAACCACACCTGCTCCTACCTCCTGGAGTTTCATATTTGTTTTGATTTTATGTACATTGGTGTTCTGTCTGTACATCTGCCTGTGTGCTCTATGCACATATTGCCTGGTGCCTTTTGGGAGCCAGAAGGGCCTCTAATGCCCAGAACTGGAGTTAGAGATGGGTGTGAGCTACCATGTGAATACTGGGAACCACATCCAGGTCCTTTAGGACAGCCTTACCTGCTAAGCCATCTCTTTAGCCCTGAATTCTTTTTAAGTACGCTATTGGTAAATTTTGTGGTTTATTACTATTAATAAACTACTTACAATATCTTCCACAGGGGATTTTTCACTGTATACTGGTAAGAACTGCTATCCTACATAGCAAAGAGCATGCTAGACAAATAGAAGGCAAGCAATAATTAGCCAATGAGTGTGTCCAGTTAATCAATCAGTTATGTATTAATTAATTAATTAATTAATTAATGTTCAGCTGGCTGATGATGATTGATGAAAATAAAAATATAAACACGGAATGACAGAGCTGTCATGATTGTGGACAGTTTCTCAAAGATCGAGCCTAATATTTTGATATCACATCATGGCTACTGCTCTCTAATCCTAATGTTTAAATTAAGGCAGTTTCTATGGTAGTAATATACCTCTTGTGCAACACTGTGGCCATGATTCAAATCTTGGGTAAACTTAGTGAATGATGAACTTATTTTCCAATGTAATCAGAGACGGGGTAACTTGTTCTGCACACAAGAAAGACTGGCTGTGTCATACAAATCTGGTTCTGTATTAAAATGTCTTTGTTGGGGGTGGGGGTTGCCCTAGTTTTGTTTTTTCTGAAACAGGGTCTCACTATATAGTCCTGGTTGTCCTGGAACTCACTATATAGACCATGCTGGCCCTGAACTCACAGATAACTGTCTGCCTCTAACCTCCTGAGTGCTGAGATTAAAAATGTCTGCCACCACACCCAGGCTTTAAAACGGTGCTTTTACAAGAAGGAAGGTCCTGAGCACTGCAAGTCCCTCAGTGCCAATTACAATTTAAACTCAGATTGACTATTTCAGATCTAAAATGCTTGAGATCAGAAATAGTTTTGATTTTTAAGGATTTTTCAGGGGAGGTGAGAGCTACCAGAAATGTTCAACTTGTGTGTCACTTTTAACTAATTAAACTCACTTTTCAGTATTCCCTGAATTGACAGTAACATAAGCCAGTGATTTGATTTTGAGACCCACTCCAAATCCTGAAACTGCATATCCTTCCCTGAAAGCTCTGAAAGCCCTTTGAATATATACAAGAGATGGTGAGCGTGAACCGACCCCGGCCAAGAGTCTTCTGTCTCCTGTTGCCTTGGCATCCTCACACTCTAGAAAGTGAAGCTGACAGTGAGCTTCTAGCATTTA